TAAACGTACTCGTCAACAACTTCGAGCATAGTGCTCCCAACAACTACCGGCATAGGTGTGACATGGACATGAAACATGATCTTTGTTTTGTCCATGTTCATCTTAAGACCTATCCGTTGGGAGGCACTATTGAGGTCATTGAGCATAGTGCTTAAGTCCTCCAGCGATTCTGCCATAAGGACTATATCGTCGGCAAATCGAAGGTGAGTGATGTACTCGCCATTGATGTCAATACCGTATCCTTTCCAGTCCAGTAGCTTGAAAACGTCTTCCAATGCAGCGGTGAAGAGTTTCGGGGATATAACGTCACCCTGTCTTACACCTCTCTGCAGTTGGATAGGTTTCGAGTTTTGGTTCTGTACTCGGATAGCCATCGTAGCCCTACTGTACAAACACTTCAGCACTTCGATATACCGACAGTCAACTTGGCACCGCTGAAGGGACTGTAGCACCGCCCAAATTTCGACGGAATCAAAGGCTTTCTCATAGTCCACATACGCCAGGCAAAGTGGCAGATTGTACTCTTCAGTCTTCTGTACAATCTGCCGCAGGGTATGTATGTGGTCTATGGTACTGAAGCCTTTTCGGAAACCGGCTTGTTCGGGAGGCTGGAAGTCGTCAAGTCTGCGTGCGAGACGATTCGTAATGACTCTCGAAAACAGCACGTAGACGCGGCTCAGAAGGGAAATCGGTCTGTAGTTCTTTAAGAGAGCGTTGTCGCCTTTCTTAAAGAACAAGACCACCGCACTTCTGCTCCACGCCTCTGGAGTAGTGCCACCATGGAGGACGGAATTGAAGAGCTTCTGAAGGACTTCAAGTACCGGTGTTCCACCCGCTTTCAGAAGCTCCGCTGTAATTCCATCCTCGCCTGGGGCCCTGCCGTTTTTAAGGTGCTGGAGAGCCATTCTAATCTCGCTTAGACTGACGTCCGGGATATCATCGGAATAGTGTCGGATAAGACTTGCTCTTGGATCGTTACTCACACTTGCGTGTGGCTCCAACGATGATGTGTACAGCTGCCCATAGAACCTCTCAATCTCACTCAAAATCTCAGGTGTCCCGGAAACGATGTTGCCACACTCAGTCTTCAGCCTTGACAGTTGGCTCTTTCTGGCAGACAGATCTCTGGCAAAGACTTTGGAGCCCTGGTTCCGCTCGATCGCTTCTTTAATACGAGAAGTATTAAAGTTGCGTAAGTCTCGCCGTATGCATTTGGAGATCTGTCTGTTCAGTTGCCTGTATGCTGTCAAATCTGTTGACGATTGCAGCCTCATCTCCCGTCTAACAGCCATGAGATTAAGAGTGTGATCGGAGAGTTTTTGTGTTCTTCTGCGGCGGGTCTTGCAGAACTTAGCTCCGACCGCATGGACAGTTTCCACGAGCTTGTCGTTCATATCGTCCACTGCATTGCAATCTTCTAGGCACTGGAAGCGGTTACGTAACTCGAGCTGAAAGGTTTCGGGATTCTGGATTAGAGCACGAGGGGGACGGAGCGTTGACTTCATTAGACGAAACCTCTCCAACTTAACGTTTAGGTTCAGTGTGCCTCTAACCATTCGGTGATCGCTGCCAGTTTTCACCCTTGCGATCACTGAGACATCACTGAACAGTTGGCGTCTGGTCGTCATAATGAAGTCAATCTCATTTTTTGTCGAACCGTCGGGGCTCGACCAGGTCCACTTCCTGTGGGGCCGCTTCTGGAAGAAAGAGTTCATCATAAAGAGTCCCTCTTTCTCCATAAAGTCGGCCAGCTGCTGGCCCCTTCGGTTCCGTTGCCCTACTCCAAATTTCCCTACCTTCAGCTCACCGCTTTCTCTTGTGCCCAGTTTTGCGTTGAAGTCTCCCATCAACACCGTGTAGTAGGTTTTGGAGGAATGTATGGCTCTGGAAATATCCTCATACATTTCCTCCACCTCCTCATCGGGATGTGCCGAGGTTGGTGCGTAAACCTGAATGACCTTCAGCGAATACCGTTTGGTGATTCTGAGTATCAGGTACGCGACCCTCGTCGACACACTCCCAATCTTTACAACGTTGTTGACGAGAGATTTGTGGACGATAAATCCGACACCTCCTTGGGACAGATGGTCGCCCTCCCGGTGATAGAACAAGTTGCCGGACTCGAGGATTGCCGTGTCCTCCCCCTCTCTTCGGACCTCGGATAATCCAATAATATGCCAGCGCAACTTGTCTACCTCTTCTTCCAGCTCCAGTATCTTCTCGTCAGTCCTCAGGGTGCGTGCGTTATATGTTGCCAGGTCGAGTCGTCGTAGGTGGCAACCGAACCTCCACCGGAGATTCTTAGTACATTGTCAAACGATGAAGTAATCACGCGCATCCTTAAGACTTAAACTTATGAACCTCTACCACCCACGGCCACGGGGATCGGCGGCTCGAAAGGCAAACGGGCCCGACGCCGCGCGTATGTGCGAATTAGCGCGGCGCGTTTTGAGGGCCACGGCCAGTCATGTTCGCCGCTGCGACCAAATAGGCTGAGAGCGAAAGGTCTTTATCAAAGTTATCTTGATATTGCTTAGTTATTGTTTTTTGGTTCAAGACATAATATTTGGAAGAGATTGCAGAGTACATGACTTGAATAGGCGTCGGGTAATAGATGGATAATTCCACAACAAATACAGAATATATCCAGAAAAAAATTTCGAGTATACCAGAATAAGTATCGAAACCTACGATGTTCTTGTTAATATTCAGCCAGAATTGGAGTTAAAAGTCAATGCGGATTGTCTGCCCGTACGTCTCGGCTTTTTTCGCGGCGAAAACAACTAAAATATTTTGTATCCTATACTATTCGTCGCGTCTGCCGCTCGACTCCGTGGCTGCGCTGCGCTGCCACTGCGCGTGGCTTGATCCATACATTTGTTTTAGTCGCTAGACGCCTCGCCGTTCGCACCGCGCGAACATTCGCTAAGGCGAATGTCCCGTGGCCAGGCTGTTAGTCAAAATAGCAAAAATTATCGGACACAAATAAAACACTAAAATTCAATTTATAATTATGTTTATTAATTTATTATTTAAGTGCAACACATTTACTCGGCTGGAGACAAAAAATGATGTTTTACTGAAAAATTTTAAAAGATTTTCTGGTCAGATAAAAACTACGTTTACCTTATATCGCGCGTTTCCTAGAGAAAAGGAGGAATATTGAGATCCATTTTATCACAAGGCGAAGAAAACAAGTTAGGACGCAAATTCCAGTCACTGAAATGTGTAACATTGCTGCGATAAAAGTTTTTGTCTCCAAAATTTCGCTCACATTCGCACAGTCACAAGCACTCGTTTGTTACCTAGGTAGGTATTTTAATTTACCGATCCGTGGCACCCGCCAAAATCTGTAGAAGCGGTTTACTAACGCTCCTATTTAATGTGTAATTCATATAAAAATATCGCTAAATTAGAATTCCACTGAGAGGAGGGAGGGGATATATTTATCGAGGTCAAGTGCCACGATTCGTAAACCTTACTATGTGTTCTTTAAAAAAAATAAACACTAAAAATGAACACGGTCTCATATTTACAATTTGCTTTATCTTTATAATAAACGTAAATACAATATGTACCAAAAACGCCTCCAATCCGCAGTCGGCGCGGGAAACTATGTACAATTTTGTTTATTGAAGCCGAGAAATAATGTTTGGGAAAAATAAACTAGTTTTTTTTTTGTTGCCATCGCGTGTCCTGCGGCCCGGAGGGAATCTGATCTTCTTAAGACTACAAATATTTTTTTCGTTTTTTACATTTTTTCTCAGAAACCTATTCATTAGTAGTTTAATCAGTAATTTTAATGAACATTTTAGCCATTAATTCGCATTTTACTACCGGAAGCGTTTCGACGGCTGCTATTAGGGGGCAATTCTTTTTTTTTTTCAAGCCATATATAAACAGTATGATGCAAGTCGAAACACGTCCGGTACATTCCTAATCAATAAAGAATGTAATAATACTAGCTAATTATATGAAAACTAACATCGAAAACTAAGCAATTCAGAGAGATATAATTATTGGACTTAGAAACGCAAAGTTATTTGTCCGTCACAGAGTTAAATATGACCACAATTTTATGTTTTTATATTTCCATTGGTCTATCGACCCTCATTACATCAACTCTTAAACAGTAAATACAAATTGATCCTCAACTCATAAGTAAATATAGAATGTGGTCTGATGAGAAATTAAAAACTATTTTCTTTTTTGTGTACAATTAAAAACGTACACATTGGTATATTAAATAGATAAGAAATAACATTTATTAAAATTAATAAGGGTTATTTTTATATATTTTCGATTGTAAATTAAAAAGGCCTCTGTTAGAAGAAAAGTTTTACCGTCACTTCATTGGAACGTTCGACTCGACGCTAGTATTTTTACTATACCTGCACGTTAAGCCAAATTAAGCCAAACCTCAAAACGAACAAATCGTGTTTTTATGCGAGAAGATCGGAACTTGTTCAACTTTAACTTATTTCTTTGAATTAAGCTTTCTAACCGAACATTTTACAAATATGGTCGAGTGAATATTTTCACACAGTTCCTTTTGCATAATATAATTAAAGGTGGGAAATTCAAAATTCAATTTTAATTTCGATATTGCGTTTCTTGTTATTGCACGCTTTGTAATGTAAGTAATACAAATCGGCAAAAACGTTACTCCATTGTAAGTTTTAAAATTAGTTATGATATATTTTATTAATCAATAGTCAAATACACTTTTAAATCTGCACAAATTAACTCCAATTAAAAAAAAAATGGATCAAATCCGCTTGGGGCTTACGCCTGGTAAAATGTCGGCTCTGGCTAAAACAGGTGTAATGGCGCAAGTTTGGCCCAACGTGCGGGGAGCAACGGCAGCCGGCGACGCACACGCACACTGCGACACGCACGCACACTAGCACACGCGCACACGTACACGCACACACACACAGATGCTATCGCGCTTTCTTCCTCGCCGGGCCACCCGTAGCCGCCGAACGCCGTAATCTCTTTCACTAGAAAAAAGAAACAAAAAAAAAACAATTTTAACTCGCTGTATAAAATTTTAATAGCTAAACAACATATTAAACTACAAAAATATATATACAGGGTTGTTTTTAAAATAGTAGCCAAATTTTAAACTTAAGTTAGTTCAAATTTGGCAGTTTTTGAAAATATTTTGAAAATACGAGGAAATAGGGCTTGTACTTTTATTTGACAAAGTTTCAACCTACTGATCGGTCCTCACGAAATAAAATCTGTTAAAATAATGCATTATAAGTTATAACGCATTTTTAATTTAAAAGATAAATACGACAGAATGTGTAAGATATTTTAAATTAATTTTTCTTTACCATAAGCGTATATTACTTATTTATTATAAACCTTTTCTGCAAATTTGACCGGTTATTGCAAAATAACCCTGTATATAACTCTGTACACTATCCACAAAATCTATTATGGTATCTACATTAGGTTAACAAGTTTACGAGTTGATTTAATATGAGAAAAAAAATAAATGATAACTTTCAAGTGGTGTTCCAGTGATATGTAATGATAAAATTGCTAATCTTGATTGTAATGATCAAACAAAAAAGTACATCAAATTATCAGTATACTATTTATGTTTTAAATGCCACAAATGATATCGATTAAAAAAATAATTACCGCCACTGACATATTGATCTTTAAGGGCAACGTCATGCAATGGACATGTCGAATTTAAGACGACACATCGAAAAGGCTATCACCGTAATGATCCAAGTGAATACATAATTTCTATAAAAACTTGAAATAACGCCGTCATAAGGTCTAAAATAGCGTAGCGCCCGCGACGATTAATAGCGCTTAGAAATTGTCAGAATCTTAAAATATATTTTTTTTAAATTATTGATTTAAGTAATCAAAATAATGAGCAAGTAAATTATAAATATTGATGTTATGAATATATTTGAGTGATTCCCAAGCATATAGATTAAGTAATTTCGTTATAATGTTAACTAAACTCTAACTAACTCTAAACTATAGTGATTTTTTAGAGGTGTTTTCGCAAATAATTATGATCAAGTCAAAATTATACAATCGTGTTTTTGAACAATCAAATTCAAGATAAAGACATGAATTTACCTATATCAAAATTCCACTTTCGTTAGTGGTGTCATAGTCCTATACTATTCGATGAAACGAGATGCATTTTTTCACGGTGTCGCCTTAAAACAAATATTAACATTTTTACCACGTTTTTATTGAGTCACTTTTTTGGTTGTCTGTTTGTCTATCGTTCCGGGAGGAATTTAATAATTGATTTTACTATATTTTAATAATTGATTTAACTTACTTCTCGATGAGCTGGAAACTTGAAATTTTGAATATGGCTTAAGTTGAATGACAATGAACGAATATGATAAAAAACGTGGTAAAAAATTTGTAAAAAGTATTTTTTATAACATTTCACTTGTTAAGATAAGATGATTCTCAAAATTGTTTTCAAAATATTAAAAACTATTTAGGTAAACCCTAATGCTGTGTTAAGGTCTGAAGGTTATACAGAGGCAGAATAAAGCATGGGAATGAGGGAGGCTGTAAGGCATTCCATCTTAGTCCTCAAAAGTTAGCTGCAGGTATCCATAGATCGCAGAAGCCACTTACCACCACGTGGACTGTTACTTCGATCATCACTTACAATTTTATAAATAAAAAAAAACTATGTCGAATAAGCTTCGCAAATCAAAATCGCCGAATTTAATTTAGCAAACGTTAAATTCGCAATATCAAAAATTACTCAACATTTAGACAAAATGTACAACAACATTAACACTTTTTTATATTTAATTCGTAAACAAATTGATGTGAACAAAATTGTGGAAGCAAAATATTTTTATAGTAATTATATACAATGTAAGGATTTATACGAATATAGAAGATTTTATTACGAATCTAACATTTTTAACCCTTATAAATATCAATTTACATGAGACAGTACATACACAATAACATGCGCACTAGCACAAAACCAATAAAAGAATAAGATTATAAAATTTAAGCAAACACTAAAATTTATCTATAATTTTGTTAAAAATGCCAAAAACCTAAGAAACACTTTTGCCTACGACATTGTCTAAATTTTACATTATTTATTTAATAAAGTTATAAATTTAATGAAATAGTCCAGAATAAATTATAGTCAAGGAAAGTTAGTAATGGTTAGTTAAAAGCATTAGGAGATAGCGGTGACTTTCTTCTTCATTTGGCTGACAGACTGATGTCCTTTGACCGTTTGCTTGTTAGCTGCAGAATCCGCGGTTGCATGCGCAGACTTCACCTAAGGATAAAGCGGGAAGTGGGTGGAAAGGAATAACAATGTTGGGTATCAAAAATGCTAACGAGGGGAGGGGCGGTACATTATAACATTATAATAGACAGTTTTCCTGTCCGTAAAAGTTACACAATCGAAATGTTTATATTTTGTTACGTTGTGTAGGCTGATGTTGTATGGAGCTGTGTTTAGGTCTGTGTGTGGGATTGTATTTGGTGGACTTGAGTGAGGTTTGATTTGTGGACTGTGTGTAGGTTTGTGCGCGAGTTAACGCAGACTGAGTGTGCGAAGCGGAGTTCCATATACATTATTTGAATGGTAGTTTACAATAAAAACTGCGCAACACCTGTGGAGCGCGCAGGCGGTGTTGTTTGATTATTGAAAACAACGTTCGCGATTTACAATCAAATAACTAGTTTTCTCGCTCTCTCGCGGTCGACTAAAGTTACGAAGAATTGTCTGTAAGTATATAATAGAAGTCTCTAGTGTAGTGTTGAATCCTGTGTTAAGGCCTGTACGTGGTGTAAAGTTAGGTATAGTGCGCTAACCTAATCTCCCTGAATCAGTTCAAAATTCAAACCATGTTGTGATGTGTAGAGCTGTGGTTACCTACAGTGAATTAAAAGGAACCCACATAGCCGGTGCAATGTCCTCTTCGGATGTGTGTTGGTGGAGTGCGGCGAGAGATAGTTTCTTCTGTCTACGGGCGCAGGGGGGGTAGAGTTACAGGGTAAGAGAAATATTGGTATGACGAGGCGCCACTCGGCTTATCGTTCGCGAGTCTGTAGCCGCACACATATAGTGTGGTCCTCCTCACAAGCAGCCGCACACGTTTAGGTTGATTGTGAAGGGGGTTGGTATGTGAGAGAGCAGTGCGTGTGATGCTGGTGTGTGATGCTGGTGTGTGATGTGGTGTGTGGTGATGTGTGTGTGGTGATGCTGGAGTGTGCTGATTGTGCTAGTGTGTGGTGGTGGTGCTGGTGTGTGGTGGCGTTGGTGCTGGTGTGTGGTGGCGGTGGTGCTGGTGTGTGGTGGCAGTGGTGCTGGTGTGTGGTGGCGGTTGTGGGTGTGTGGTGGCGGTGGTGCTGGTGTGTGTCGCTGGTAATGGAGTGTGATGATGGAGCTGGTGTGTGGTGGCGGTGTGCGCGGTGCACGCACCTCGTTGTTGGGCGGCGGCTGCGGCGGCTGCTGCGCGCGGCGCTGCACGGACGGCGAGCGGCGCTCGGCGGCGCCGCCGGCCAGCTCCAGGTTCTGCTTGCGCTGCCGCAAGATCGTCCAGTCGAACGTGTAGTCGTACTGGTAGTTCATCGTGCGGAACAGGATGCGGAACAGCTGCACACACACAACACACCTTATACTCACAGCAAGCGGCATTACCCTAATGCCAGGGTACAACACACTTTAACTCTAAAGGTCGTGGGTTCGAATCCGCCATTCGACTACTGTCGTGAAATACTCCTAAACAGCAGCATTTTTAGCTTGCCAGGAGTGGTCAAGGGAACTATTAGTAAAGTTTAATAACATTGCTGATATTTTTTCTTTTTAAAAATAAAAAACAACCAAACTTCAGTTACATTCTATATAAATCTCACACCTGGGCCATCCATTTCTGAGGTGGTTTTAATAGGAAAGTGTCCACCATACATATATATTGGCGGGCTTGGCATATCGCGTTAACATAAGCCTCGCCTATACATTGCCTTTGGTAATAAACACCTTCATTCGAAATATTTTTCGTTTTGATTTCATTTTCATGCGATATTGGAATTGCACGCGACACTTTGAGCCTGCGACACACGCTTATATTATGCTCGCGACAATTTAAGTCTGCGACTGACAATCAATTAGGCTCTGCTGTCCCTAACGGTGACACACTTGCCCCGCCCACCTTGGGCTTTCTCAAGCTTTTTATATTCCATATAACCTGCAATGTTTAACAGTGGTCCAGAAACGACTAACTCATGAGCCAATTAACTTTTGTCACGTCAACATTACGATACCCAATACAAATGCCTGTAGCCCTATTAATGCCTTCATAATTTTAATTTTTTTTCTATTGTTCTATACTTAAAGTAAAACTGTATAAAATGTATGGACATTCTTTTCTTTAGTAACGGAAAGCTTGAAAAAAAACAGGTTACGATAATGCAATGTGTTCTGCATTATCGTAACTTTAGTTTTTTAAGGTTTTGTGTCGTAGCCACACATAAACCCGCTCTGTTAAGTCACGGAGTGATTACTGTCCCATAAAATCTGAATGTTCCCCTCAAAAGTGAGAAAAGATACCAAACTTCCAAGTGCTTACCTCAGTGATGAAAGCAAATTATTCCCATTAAAATTAATAACTACTTTGATGGCATATTATACTCAACCAAATCTAAGAAATACCTTTTGACGTTTCACATTATTCATTCCACAATAACTTTGTACAAGCATACCATTATCTATATTTCATCACAATATGTACAGTTCTTTATCACCAAAATATAAAAAAATGTAACTGGAATCAACTTTTATGCTTGAGATTGTTTGATTCAAATTCATGCTAATGCGAATAAGCTGTAAAAATATTCGAATGATCGAACCCTTACATTTTTTAATTATTAGTTTAAAGTTTTTAATTTCACGATCAAACAAGTCTAATTTTTTTTAAATAATTTCCTCTTGAGATATTTCTAAGATTTGGTGGAGTGTATGTAAGCTGTATGACATTCAATTCCTGCACTGGTCTAGTATTTACATGTCGTACAAATAATCCTGCTGAATGTAGAGGTTATCCATGTGCATTTTATGTATGTTCGTCCACTATAATACGAGATGTGTTACATTTTCAAAAAACTGCCAAGCAGCACTACAACAAAACAACGAAATAATAACAAATCCCGTGCTTTGTACGTGATTAAAATTTAACGTCCAAAATCATGTTTAGCCTTATTTCCAACTCATAATAACTTCAGAGACTGCTACTATTAAAATCTAGGCTAATATAAAATTCTTACCTGTCTAAGATACATGTAGTCCGGAGCCTCGTCGAATGTAAGTCCACGGCAATAATTTAAATACATAGCAAACTCGGCCGGGAAGCCCTGTCAAGGAGATAATTAAATTAAAATGGTGTGTGTATACATTTAACATGATTCTTTATATTCTATATATATATATATATATATATATATATATATATATATATATATATATATATATATATATATATATATATATATATGGACTAGATATAATATTATAAATATACAACATGTAACATAATTAACGCACTTTGAGAAAGTAGTTGGTTCAGAATCGTTTACTGAATCGATTCCTATCATTTTTAATATAGGTAATTTTTTATCCCAAAAATAATTAAAACTACGTAAATTACAGTTTTAAGACTGCAGTTTTATTTGTATTATTACTAATTCTGCCATTCAATAAAAATAAAGAAAAATGAACTTTATTTCAAGCAAGTTAAAGTCTTTGCGTTTGTGGATTTGTACTGTGACCACAACATTCTTCCGGAATTAGTATAACTAATTTGATAAATAATCAGTGCATAAAAATGTTTAACTAAAGATTCAGTGTATGTATTATGATTATAACATAATATACTAATTGCGGTGTCTGAGGGTATGTATATATATATATATATATATATATATATATATATATATATATATATATATATTCTACGTCAGACGTACGTAGATTCTACGTCCTTTCATTTCGCATTATTGTAGCGTCCACCACTTGTAGGCATTTTTATACATTATGACAGCGTATATTGGTCCATTAAACAATTTCAAAGATAGTGTTTAACTCATTTCTTTTAAAATTTACCATATGGCGATATACAAATATTCGTATATTGCCAGACGGAGGGAAACCAATCAGGACTCCCTTCCATATTACAAATTATCCGAATCCCCATAATATACATAGTTTTTAATTCATTCTCCTGCTTAACGCAATTCCTTTGTATGGTGCGACGTTGCCACTCTTATTAGTTATTCCGCTTTGTAATATTTTATTTATAGGTGATATTTTGTATAAGTAGGTATTCGATAGATTCCTATAGTCAGTTTTTTTTGCAGGAGACAAAAATAACAGATCGTTATTAGATTCGTTTAGCACGAATAATACAGTTTTTATGATTCTAGTTCAGATTAGATTTAATTTTAGTCACTTAAGTTTCGTATATTGTTCAAAATAATGAAATAAATTCACAGAATACAGTTACGAAAAATACGCAATATCATTTTTGTTTCCGGCGAAAAAAAATCAGATAGATATCATGATTAATTTACCAACTAGTTATTCGTTTACTAAATACGAAAAAATATCTAGGATTGCCCAGCCGTGATACATTATAGATTGACTATATTATTATTTATTTTACTATTGTAAATATGTACTAATTGTAGATATTGACAGGTTTAATAGAAGTTCATTTTCTTATATTGTGACTAATAACCTAATATGACCTTGGGAAGAAACTCATTTTAATATAAGGTTTTACTGCATTAACTGCCATTGGGTCGTTAATTTCTACAATAGACCGTGGCGTATTGTTGCTGACATGAATAACTCCGAAAATATAATTTATTTACTTGATCGTATTGAGTTTTGGTGCTCTCACTGCGAGTTTACTTTTTATGATCACATATACGGACGTAAGAATATCCTAAAATATTGACACTAAGTTTTATTTGACGTCCACTTCTTCGATATCCGATGTCCAAAGTTTTTGTTGATTATTGCATTTTACTATTTATTTATGTTGATTATTTATTTAGTGCTCAAGGCATATTTTGGTATTTTTTGTCGGTTTATACTGTACTCAGTGCTAGTAGATAATTTTACTTTCCAATTTGTTTTCGTGTCCTTTTCTTTTAGCTACATATAATAATATTGACGTCCGAATATCCTAAAACATTCATACTGAATGCTATTTGACGTCCATATTTTTGAATTTTGTTATATTTCTATATGTGGACGTCAGGTTATCGGTAAAGTTTCATACCGCACGATATTTGACATCCATATAACCATGAATATATTTATATTTTAATTTATTGTGTATAAGACACACATTAATGATCATTACTTTAATGACATTTTTCGCTATTGTTTTATTCGTATTTTAGTGTAGGGAGGTCATGCGGTGTAAAATAGTCACTTTGGTGTTTTATAAAATGTTTCATTCTAGAATTGATAAAACGCTTAGAAGCTTAGAAAAAGTGTGTGAAAAATTAAATTGTACTTCCACTAACTGCAAAACCAAACATAATATCATAATTTAACAAAAATAGCCTTTCACAAAAATGAATCTAGTTAAGTAGAGAGTAATTTCGTACAGATTAGGTACAATAGTCGCACTCATCCTTAAGATGCAGTGAGAGCACCAAAACTCAACACGATCAAGTAAATAAATTATATTTTCGGAGTTATTCATGTCAGCAACAATATGCCACAGTCTATTGTAGAAATTAACTACCCATTGGCAGTTAATGCAGTAAAACCTTAAATTAAAATGAGTTTCTTCGCCAGACCAGATTAGGTTATTAGTCAGAGATCATTAGTCACAATATAATAAAACAAACTTCTATGAAACCTGACAATATCTACAATTGAGTCCATCTTCCTGTACTCAATCAGAAGGTAACTTATACTCAAACAGAATTTGGGTGGGAATGGGTTGCTTACAAAGTACCAAATGTAAAATGTTAAAATATAGTGCAGCATGAAATAAACCGATAAACCGACGTCCGTATCTACATTTATAAAAATATAACTAAATTCAAAAATACGGGTGTCAAATATCATTCAGTATGATAGTTTTAGGATATTCGGACGCCCATATTATGTGTAGATAAATGTAAAGTTAAGAAAACAAGTTTAAAAGTAAAATTACTAGTACCAAGCGCAGCATAAAACATATAATAATGTCCTGCAGACCGAATTACGGTCACGGCTGTCTGCCTCAACGGAGACTACCCATCGGCGCAGGACAGGATTATAGTGCCCATGTTTATACGCAACCACAGGTGCACTCTCTATTCCCTCACTCTCATAATCCGATGGGACGGTAAACCGACACGACCGAAGAGAGATCAGGCGCGGGACCAACGGCTTTACGTGCTTTCCGAGGGAAGGGGTGATACACTGCCAACTTCCTGACTACGGGCAGCTATTGAGAATTTCTTGACAGAAAAACTTAATAATTGATTTTTTGGCCCGACCCGGGATTCGAACCCAGGACCTCACGAACTCTCGATCAGCAGACTACTACAACCGCTAGACCAACGAGGCAGTCATAACCATATATCACCAAATACAAGTAACACGTTGGCAACGGTGACGGAACGGCAACGTCGCATCTCCTAATTTTGTGCGGAAGTCAAATACGGCCATAAATGAAAGTATTCAAAAATCGACAGCAGCGCTATATTTTTGCAACGAAAATTAGCGAAACTACGTAAATATTCAGTACAGCAAGATTGGAATAAAAATGACGTCCAATTTTTTTTTAGATTTTGACATTTCTGTGATAAGCATGACAATTTGCGAACATTGCGCTAAGTCTCCTATTTGACGTCCGTATATTGAACGTCGTAAGATTGCGCCCTCCTTTCTGCCAAGGAGGGTCGCATTCGTATAGGGCTTAGAGATCTCTAGTCAGATCGTTAAGCCAATTCCTAAAAGGCGGTGTTTAGTGGGTAAAAGTCTCCACATAACCACGCAGCCGGCTGCGTGGTATGCTATGAGCATTCACCGCCTCCCTCCCCCGCTTTCCGAAGGGTTGCCCATATTTGCTTCGGGCGCAAAAAAAAAACGTCGTAAGCAGATTGACGCCACATTATATGCAAAATTGGCCATAGTGGACGTACAATAAGTTACGGGATGTATGTTGTATATCCCCTTATCTTAATAATTTCCTTCACTCTCATCTTCAAATCAAGAAGAATGGAATACTCAAGCGCCACGCAATACAACGTAAAAAGAAGTACATAAACTTTCCACGACGCGTATGGCCAACGCTACTCGCTCCTAAACTTAGACAATACCATTATACAAAGTATGGAGCGTAGAGGTAAGGAGTACAAACTCTGTATAAAAAGTGTCCGTAGGAAAACGCTAAATAAGCCACTGTAGCTACTGTCTAAATTTTAAAGAACTTTTTATCATTTTTATATTATACAGACTCACCATAATTCTTTTTACAATAATTATTTTATTGCTTTCAAAATTTTTATATTCAAAATCACTAACATATTTTACGGCGATTTATCATACCCTATAGCTAGCTACTCAAGTGCTGTTGTGGAGAGTTTTTGAACTGTTATTTACTGCTTACGGATGAACACATTTTCAACTATTCTCCTACGGGAGATTGTCCTCCTTACCTCTATACTCCAAGATACAAAGTGCAGTGTGTTAAAGTAGAAAACACGCCTGCTGGACCGAGCATAAAGAATACTGCAAGAAATTCTCCTGGCCTGTGGAAGTACGTAGTTCTTAAACGAGAAGAAACTTAATTCTTAATCTCGCATTTACTACCTTAACACAAATTTTTCACAAGCTAGCGATACCAGTTTCTCGACGCCACAGAGTAACTAATTCATTCTTGGGATAATGTTTACGCTATCACAACAAAGTACCAGAAAATATACACAGTCTCTCTATTACAAAGTTTAAATATTTAATTAAACAAAAACTGTATAAAAATTGTACTAATAATCTCTGTAATGAATACATGGTTGGTATGAACTCCTGGGAATGAGATTTTTTGTAGAGGAAATTTTGTAACCATTCACATTGTAAAATTTATTTTAAACAATTTTCCGCTGGGTTTCTTGCTGGTTCTTCCCAGGACAGGGGTTTTTATCGGACTAGTGGTAAATTAAAAAATTACTTTCAATAAGAATTACTTACATGTAATATATATTGAATAAAAAACTATTCTATTTTATTGTATTCCTTAGACTGTAAACGCGCATCAGGGTGACCTAATAACTGGTTGAGAAATTGTATGATAAGAGAAGTGTAGTTTACAAGAAGACCATGTTTGTATTGTGACCATAATTAGAAAAGGAATGTTTTGTTGAAAGAAAGAATTAAAGGTTCATTAATTAAAACTACTTTTACGGTTTTTTTATCGCGTTTAATTTTTTTTTGCATTGGGTGACAAACGAGCACACAGTCCAGCTGATGGTAAACATAGACATCCACATTTATCCTCAATTAAGGATCAAAATGCACATACGTTGTCACCCCTGAGGACCAAGATGGAACGCCTCGATTCCAGTAATAAAAGTCTTCGGTTCTCTACACTCACTATACTAAGCACAGCAACATAACGCTGCTATTTTACGCTGGTATTCTGTGAGAGCGTGATCCTGTCCCGGTCGAGCTGACCCATTCATGCTACAACTATAATATAGCTGCAGCGTGGCTCTACCACGTAAAGATTATATGATTTTTAATTCTTTCGGGTGCTTTCCAGCACCTATGGTCACGGGGGATTAAAGTGATTAACGTCCCGATGTCAGTGTTAACCCAGAGTGTAACTTCAGCTTTTTAATTATTATTTATGGTCCCATCTACGCAGAATGAACTTACTGTATCTTGAAGTCTTACAGTGGTATGCTTGGGTTTAGTTTTAATTTTATTAATTACAGGGTCTCAAGCAGGTAATAGTAACCAAATTCCTTCTCTATTGAAATTAGGATGTTTTTTAATTTCAATAGCCTCACGTATCATAACTGATAGGAATCGATGTTCTTTCGCGAGAATTTGTGATCTATCAAATGTGATGTCATGGTTGGGGCCAGGGCCTAGGATATGATCACAAACTCCAGACTTCCCGGAAAAAGAACATATAGCTGACGTGAAGCATCAACATTCCGGGAAGTCTGCATGCATCATTAAATAAAAGTTTGGCAACGAACGAAACCCTAGACGGAAGTTTATCGAACAAATTGGCAATATTTTGAACATGGACTAAGTAAAGAGTACCTTTCACTGACGAGCAGGTAAAAGTAAAGCTACAGCCTATATGCATCCCACAGGAGACAAAGGAGTTCTTACACCTCTGAGAGGGATATAATACAAGAAAAGGTACGCAGAGCTGCTCAAATGCGTGTTGGCGGGCTTCACATTCTTCAGTCTTGAATTTATTTTCCGCAGACATGCAGATTTATTCACGGTGTTTATTTTCGCCGCGCACGCACGTGGTAAATCAGCACTTAAAATTGCAACTAACAATTTCATTGGTTCCGGCGAGAATTAAACTAGGATTGCTCGCGTAGTATGTAATTTACAGCGAGCGCAAGTCCCTGAGCAACCACGACACATGATCCCTGAGGTACGACGAGCATTTATCCGTAGGAATATGAACATAAGAGGCGAGATCGATATGTCAGGATCGTGCCGAATGAAAGTCATAGTTTCCGTCGATTGCCCCGCATGACAGGCGTAAGTGTTTATGTATGTATGTATGTAAAAAAATGAATAATGTTACGACTGTTAGGCTCTAACATGACGAAATAGGTTTGTATGCTCTGTCAAAGAAATAAGTTTTTTGTTGTTTGAAGTTGTGCACATAAAGACAGTGGTATAGGTTATAAGTTGCAAACAAATAGTTGTAATTTTATAAATATTGGAGTAATAGGTGTTGGTGTAGCTAAATCCGGCAATCTGATACGACCGAAAGAGATCAGGCACAGAACCAACAGCTGTACGTGCTTTCCAAGGAACGTGGGAGAAACACCGTCAATTTCCTGACCACTAGACCAACCACGAACTCTTAGCTATCGAAATAGGTGTCAAGACTAGGTCAAAGATTTTGTAGCCTGTTCTAAAAGTCGTTTATCTACTCAAGAGAGAAAATTAGGATGACAGAAAATTTAAATAATTTGAGAAAAGAGTATCTTATTGTTTACAATTGATTTTTTCCCCTTATTATTATTAAACTGATTTAAAATTCTATGGAAATATTGTTTATACAGTTAAAAGCTTATCTATGTATCACAACATGAAAGCGTCTGACACAATGCTCACCTTGCAAAGCACTTCGACAGGCGTGGACATTTTTTTCTCGCTGATCCTCTCGTACTTCTGCTTCTTTGTGATCGCTTTCAAGCCTTGCCACGGCAAAGAGCCTCTGAAATTGATATCAATGCAACATAATAAATACAATATCATAACACATACAATTTAATTTAGTTTTTTTTTCTAAATTATAGTAACAAAGGACCATGTGTCCACTTGATAGTATGCTGTTGCCCATATAGCCAAATCACAGCCATATTGACAGCACTAGACTTAACGGCATCTTAAAATTGAGCAGCATTTGAGTATTTGGAAAAAACAATATCTACATCTATCCTCAATGATGAATCAAAATACAGATGCGTTGTTAAGCCTGAAGACCTAAATTCTCTATACAGTAAACCTAAATTCTCTATACTAAAAACAGCATCATAAGCCTTTATTTCACGCTGTTATTCTGGGAGATGGTGGTCCTTTGCTGATGGAGCCGACCCATTCATGCTTGGAACATGAATGGGTTGGCTAAGCGATATCTACATCTATCCTCAATGATGAATCAAAATACAAATGCGTTGCCAAGCCTGAAGACGTAAATTCTCTACACTCTAGACCTAAATTATCTATACAAAATACAGCATAATTAAGCCTTTATTTCACGCTGTTATTCTGTGAGAGGGTGGTCCTTCGCCGGTGGAGCCGCCCCTTTCATGCTTGGAACATGAATGGGTCGGCTCCACCTTTGTCTAATCTTTCTTTGAGTCCGGTCAAGTTTAACACCGTAAAATTGATTAGCACATCGGGGTTTGGTAATAGAGGTTTTTGTGTAGCGCAAATCGACTACAGCTTGCGACCTTGAGCTTTCTCATACTGCCAGCAGTGCAAGACTACGTTTCTGATCGATATGTCATCATTAGCAACACGCTATGGTTGTTCCCAAGTTTTGAAGTATATGTGACGATAAAATGTGTCATCATATACTCCCGAACGCTGCCATATCTATTTGAATCAGTTCATAGACCCCACGTTCGAAGTAGTGCTTACCTAATCAATTTGTCCTAGGTAAACTCGCTCGTCAACAACTTCGAGCGTAGTGTTTGGTGTTACTTTTGTCTTGTATATGTTCCTCTTAAGAGATTCCATTGGAAGTTAATAAGTTCAATGAGCATATACATAGTAATGAAGTCCTCAGTTCACCTTCACCTTCGATTTGCCGACGATATAGTCATTATAGCAGAAATTCGTAAATTTTCATCACAATTGGTTTCATTCTAAATATTAGTTTGAACAGACAGATAGACGGGCCGGCCATATAACTCGAAGAACCGATAACCGATGGGGAAGAAAGGTTCTCGAGTGGCAACCTCGTACCGGTAGGCGTGGTGTAGAGCGACCCCCCACTAGATGGAGTGACGACCTGGTAAGATATGCAGGAAGTCGATGGATGCAGGTGGCTCAGGACCGTGCTTTGTGGCATTGCTTGGGGGAGCAATGGACTTGTGAAGGGCTGTAATGATGATGATGATGAGACAGATAGAAAGACAAAAATTTAAAAATTAAAAATTTAAGCATGCTTTTAAACATAAATAACTATAGTTATTTATTTCTAACAGCATGCAATTACCCTGAACTTAATAGAAGACAGTTATTTTAATATTTTAGACAGTTCAATTTTATTTGCATGTATGAACAAAATTATGAAATTAAGGTCAAAAAAAAATTAGTTTATTTATAACATTACATTTGGCATCATGAATTCATCAAAAGAGCAATTCACTAAACGATTATATAAACACTTTATGACGCGGCGGATTTAAATAATATTGCCAATTTAGAAAGCGGGTCAGAGATATAACAGATAACATAAAAATATTGGTCGATATATCTAATTGTTTTGTGTTTCTTTGCGTCCATTTGAAACGACATTTTCGACAGCCTGACAGAGCGCATAATCTCAACACAAGAAAGTTAGATAAGCTGTTATAATTACATGATATTCTATTCCATTTGATCTTCTATCATGGCGACCATTCCCTAGGTTATACAACCAGACGTAACGAGTGATATATAATAACAGTATCTTTTTAAAGCAGTAAGGGTGACAAATACATAGTCCATATGCCGTTAAGTGGATGCTGTTGCCCGTTGAAACTACAACTTTTACCGGTTATAAATAAAATGCAGATGCGTCGTCATCCTGGAATAACAACTGTTAGAGCACTCCCTCAAGCTTCCAGATAAGGTTGTAGGATAATATGAAAATCCTAGGATAATTGCCAAACTATCTTTTATTATTGTATTAATGTATGTATAGCAAATAAAGCAATTACAAATTAAAAGCGGTGTACTGACGTTTCGCATACATCTACTACGTCATCAAAGAGTCAAAGAGAGCGCTTACACTTAACTAACACGACCGTTATCGTCCGATAACGTACGAAAACGGGCGATCAACCGTCGAGACCGAACTTGTTGGGATTTCTCGCCAGACTGCCGGCGTCTACAGTGCAAATTGAGTGTATTTATAGTCTAATTTAATCATTTTCATCCGACTGTCAAGGAAGGGTTATGTTTTTCGCGCGATCTTGTATACCATCAAAATAAAAAATTAATAAACAGACATTTTTTAATTTTTTTCCGAGTCGGAATGCCCTAAATCCCGAGCTCGCATCGCTCGATCTCTACACTCAATAAAAACTAAAATAAAAAATTTACTAAAACGATTTTTTAATGTTCGTTTTTTTGTATAGATTATGAAAAAAATTAGCAACTTCATTTGATTATTTAAAAAAGTTATCAACAATTACACGTGAATGAGTGCATTTTCATGAACATTTAAAGCCTTGAAACCAATATATAAGTTTTAATTTTTTTAATTCTTGTAACTTTTTTCTTAAATCGTAATAATGGATTTAAAAAAAATCATCGAAATCGGATGATTTTTCGATTTTCTAGAGCCAAAAAACGAGGTGACCGCGATAGTATAAAATTACCGAACGTGGTTTCTGTATGAGCGATTCATGCTTGCTGCAGCCATGATACTGCTGTACCGTGGCACTGCCACTGCCATCTCTTTCGATAGGGGGCGTCCATAAATTACGTGAGATGTTTAACCCTAGGATAGTAACAGGGGTGCCCCAACACCCCACGCCAGCAATCACGCGCCAATTTATTGAAAATTATTTGCTCTCTCGCTCTAGTATTTTGTGTATTTTTTTGTCTTACCGTGAGTCATTAGTAGCCGTTGCGCGGTGGGAGCGGCAACACGTCGATTTCGTTCTGCAGGTATGTGTGGGGTGTTGCGTCACCCCTGTTACTATTTACGTAGTTATTTTCTTTTGTTACTGTATTTTTTTATATGTTATTTTCAGTTCATTATGGCGTTTCGTAATGATGAAGAGCTTGAGCGGTACCTAAATAATATGGTCGAGGATGATGATAGTGAACCAGAGCCATTAGAGGTGGAAGAGGCTTCTGAAAATGAAGATAACATCTCCGTGCATTCCGAACAAGACGACATTATTTCCGGCTCAGATGAAGATGATGTGCCTTTGTCACAGCTTCGAGGGAGTGTTTTGAAAGGTAAGAATGGACATGTTTGGTCTACTTCTGCCCCATCATCAAGCAGAACACCTCCAAAGGTAGAACCATCCAAAGGTCTTCGCAAGTCCGTTCTAATATTGAAATAGAAAAAGAGGCTTTTATGATTTTGTTCTCTAAACCTCTCGACATAGTACTTACATACACAAACCAAGAAATTAGTAGACGTGCTCCCAAATATAAAGACCAACGTTTTACTCATAAAACAGACAAAACAGAGATCGAGGCACTCATAGAGCTACTATTTTATGCCGCGGTAAACAAAGATAGTAAAAAAAGTGCAACTGAAATGTGGGCGCCCACGAGTACCCCTGTATACAAGTCAATAATATCTGAGAGTCGATTTCATTTTCTGCTACTTTGCCTAAGATTTGATGATAAGGACAGCCGTGATAAAGAGGATAAATTTGCACCTATTCGAGAAGCATGGAAGATTTTTATAAACAGTTGCACAAAAGCGTACCAACCACTCTGTTACGTTACGATTGATGAGTAACTGTTTGGTTTTCGAGGAAAATGTCCCTTTCGTGTTTATATATCTTCGAAACCGGACAAATATGGTATGAAAATTGTGGCCATATGTGACGCTAAAACATATTATATGTTTGACGCAATTCCTTACATAGGAAAAGAAACCGAGGCGAAGACGGCAGCAGACTACGTCACAAAGTTAGCTGAGAGCATCAAAGGTTCTGGACGAAACATAACCTTTGATAATTGGTTCACCTCGGTGCCTCTTGCAGACCAGTTACTGAAGGAATATCGACTTACTTGTATTGGAACTTTACGTAAAAATAAACGTAAGATACCACCTGCTTTCCTACCGAATAAATCAAAGTCTGCTATGTCCTCTCAGTTTGCATTTGATCGCGAGAAAACGTTAGTCTCCTTTAATCCAAAGGTAAACAAATCGGTGATATTGCTATCTACTATGCACAATAAGGAAGAGATCAATCCTACAACGTATAAGCCAGTTATAATTGATGACTACAATGCGACAAAATGTGCACAATTACACGACTGCGAGGGGTACTCGACGCTGGCCGCTTAGGTTTTTTTTCGGTATGTTAGATCAAGCAGGGATCAACTCTATGATTCTCTATCTAGAAGCTAAGCATCCAAACACACCAGCTAATAAGTTTAGAAGTAATTTCTTAAAAAAACTAGCAATGCAGCTAGCCGAGCCGCACATGAGACGACGCCTGGAGTCAAATTTACCTAAAAAAACTATCGGGAAATATAAGAGCCATTCTAAATGTCCCCGAAGAAGTTCCAGCATGTGAACCCCCCGCCAAATTGCAAAAACAAGCTCGATGTGCATTGTGTCCTCGAAAAAATGACAAAAAAGTGAAGATTTTTTGTTCAAAATGCAGAAGACCTGCGTGCCCTGAACATCGTGTGGAAATTTGTCTCAGTTGTGTTTAAGTTGCCATAAAACATTTTTTATAAATCTAATTTCTTTTAGTTACTGATTGATCTAAAGAAAAGTGTTCTTTAAGTTTGTTTCAAAAATAA